AAAGATTAATGTATGGTTAGTATAGTTAAGGTTAATATTACATAACTAAAATAACTCAAGAGGAAGATCCCACTCATATCCGTGAAAGCCTATTAATATCTCAACTTAACCCTGTCCTTAATGCTAATATTAGATCTACCCCTCTTGAGTTATTTTAGTTATGTAATATTAACCTTAACTATACTAACCATACATTAATCTTTACTTATTAACTAGTCACTGATAATTTGTTTTCCTTTCTTTCTATTCATTTGTTCTTTCAAACTATGTAACCGTTTTTGTAATATTAAACCATTATTTTGTAAATATATATACCATACCCTGTAAATTCATTTAGATTGCTCTGAAGATGTTGTATTGTAAACAACGAAACGTTAGCTAATAAATTTTTTACTTTTATTATGTTTGGATTTAAAGTTATTTGCTGGGCTCTGCTCTTTATCTTCACAAAGTAATGAAAATGATCCAGAACACTGAAAATGTCATTGAGATAAATAAAGTGTTAGCAGCTTTGCAGTATAGCTTTACACATAGCTATTAGATAGATAATTTGTGCACAATTTATATATATGTAGGCCTATATACATGTAAATTATACCTCACATACCAAAAATGAGTCTCTTTTCTTTAAGAAGTTAACCTAACTTCCAAGCTCTAATGATCATGTAGTCACTACATGTATTGTCCAAAGGTGGGGTCTTGGGGTTGAAATCCAAGCTTTCTTTCTCCTAGATGGATTGCCTCCTACACAAAGCAATATGAAACACAAGCCAGTTCATATTGTACTATGATTGCCTGATTTTGTGTCACAAAAGTGTGGTACCATCCCATATATGTATATATTGTCAGAACAAGCTGCCATGGCCTGTTTTGTGACATGAAATCAGAGAACACAGTAAAACCCTGCATATAATAAGAACCTAGATTTTTTCCAAGTTAGCCTAAACAGGTTCTTATATATGGTGCTTACCTGACTGTTCATGTCACAAACTGTAATTATATTTAGTATATTCAGTGTTTTCAGGGGGGGGGGCATAAGCCCTTGAGTCATATTCATGCCTATCCCCTTGGATTGTGTTAATAATAATTGTTTATAAATTATTTGTATTACACAGGAAAATTTTTTGGTAAACCATTATTGTGATTTACAATGGAAATTAAGCAATTCCCATTGTAAAAAACCAACAATGGAAAAGCGGAATTATACCATTAATGGATCACATACATTCTCCATTAATGGATTATGGTATTACCCATTGATGGATATATGGTATTATCCATTCATGGATATGATATTACTCATTCATGGATATGATATTACCCATTCATGGATATGATATTACCCATTCATGGATATGATATTACCCATTCTTGGATATGCTATTACACATTCATGGATATGATATTGCCCATTCATGGATATGATATTACCCATTCATGGATATGCTATTACTCATTCATGGATATGGTATTACACATTCATGGATATGCTATTACCCATTCATGGATATGATATACCCATTCATGGATATGATATAACCCATTCATGGATATGATATTACCCATTCATGGATATGATATTACCCATTCATGGATATGCTATTACCCATTCATGGATATGCTATTACCCATTCATGGATATGGTATTACCCATTCATGGATATGATATTACCCATTCATGGATATGATATTACTCATTCATGGATATGGTATTACCCATTCATGGATATGATATTACCCATTCATGGATATGATATTACCCATTCATGGTACGTTTACTGTACGTCCACAATACCCAATAATTAAATGGAAATTAAGCAATTCAATTGTAAAACCCATTTAATATATATTTATTTATATCATAGTGTACTTTCCGATATCTACGGTATCCAAATTTTCATACTGTATCTGTGGTATCAGATAAAATACTTCTTCCAAAATATAACAGTACACAATGTTTTTTTAGCAACATGAACAAATATGAAGAGAAGTACATCAAACGGTTGTATAAAGAGCAATGACATTTACAACTTTTGCAGTCTTTTGACCATACATCTTACTATACAATCTCCTGGCTCAGAGGTTACTTCGACAATCTTTCTATCGATCAATTCAGGTGCCAGCTTCCTAACAGCATTGTCCTTGCTCATGGTACTAGGCACACTATGCATATATTTTTTTAGTAATGGAGTTATCCAGCTTCTCGGGACATCAGAATACTTAATTGCCCCAAATGCAACTGTCACAATAATCCTACAATCTTCAAGAGAAAGCTCATTTTCCTTCTGGTGGCCTATTGACAAAAAACAGTAGTATATTAAGTTCTTTGAAGCTAATTGCATGGCGATAATACAATACAGTTTTGTTTCGTAGAAAATAATTTTGTTGTGTAGATAATTTTATGTGGTGTTTTCTACAAAACGAAACTATACACAGGGTGTATTACAAAAGCACCCTATTGTGCGTAAATTACTTGGTAAACGTAATTTTTTATATTAAAGATCAGGCTTTTAGCTGTTGAATGACACATTTTTCATACCATTTGGAGGAAAAATGAGGAAATACGAGCTTGAAAGCCAGTTTTGACACATTCGTGAAAACTTACGTGAAAAATTAGGCGCAGGGGTGAAAGAATTCGATTTTGATCAAGATTTTCAATCGAGCTCGTATTTATTCATTTTTTCTCCATATATGTGTGCTATGAAATTGCTCATTATGCCATGAAATTGTGCTCATTCAACAGCTAAAAGCCTGATATTTCTTAATATAAAAAATTATGCTCGTTTACCAAGTAATTTACACACAATAGCATACTGTAGTTGGATTAGCTTTTTTTGAGACATCCTTTATTATATAACAGTGCATATATATGTCTCTAGCAGATGTTGATTCAATGAGTAAACCATCAGGAATCCACAAGGGCTTTAACTCTACAAACATGGACTTTTTATGGACATTGTTACGAGTGAGGGTAGCGAACAAGTGACACCAACCATGAAGTAATCTCTATATATACACTAATTTATATATACTATAACCTTCATACTATATTTCACCTTTAGAGTTGCCAATTTCTGAATTGTCTTGTGTTTCCAACTGAAATTTAAGTTGTGAACCTACTGTATTCAGTCCACAACGTTCAAGCTGAGAAGTTGTCCCTTTGGTTGCAAGTAATTCAATGGCAAAGCCATCAATCTGTTGGTCTACAGATGTAAAAAATATTTACGTGTATTATTATCGAATCCTGATGTCAATTGTTAAAAGATAGACTGATGAAAATACGTTTATAAAAGCGACGTATATTTATTCTATACGTAAACGGGCACACGACCGAAGTCAGTTCAGACACAGTACGTGCACATTTTGTTGCAACTTCTTCCCCAAAATTTTTTTTATCCAGTCCAATACATCTTCTTCAGTCATACTCTGAAAGTCAGACATCTTACATATAAAATGCGTATACTACTTTAAATCTTCTTTATTCCTTGCTGCACAGTTTTCATGCTTCGGTGCTTCTTCTTCGATTGCTTGTTTTGGACCTTTTGGCGCCTTTTCTAGTTTCCGTTCACGTGACACTAAATTGAAATATGATTGGGCGTGTGTCATCACAACCTGCAGAGCACACAGAGCTGGAATTTGGCGGGAATATTTGACAGATGTTTTCATGTTTGTTTTCGTGCTGGCAATGTACTATTAATCAATTCAACTTTTTAAAATATTTTTAATTGTTATGGGATAAAACTGTTGGCTCTGTCATACCCCATAAAATGCTTGGGGCTGCTGAAGCAGTCAGGAACATACGTAGAGGCGCATGGCACCGACATGATATCGTTTCTTGTCACTGTCCAGAACTATCCTACGTACATGTTCATTGTCCGTGTCAGGTGTGCAATTCAAACGCTGTGTCTACTGCAACAGAATATCGACATTGGAGCAGGGCATGTGAATGTATGGATACTGATGTTGAGTAAGTTACCAGCAAGTTCATAAGCAGAAACGGGGGGGGGGGGGGAGGGTGCCGATGGACCGTGGTCTGGCCGGTTTCGCTGAATTTCCTAGATGGATGTGGCCCAAAATAAAAGTTAATTTTTGGTAGTGTGACTGGGTTTTAGCTAAATCTTCAAAATTTGCAGTCACTTTCGTAGTGAGGTGAGTTAATTACGCGATTCTGTGTTATTCTTGGGTGGGGGTTTAGACTTTAGAGGGTTTAATATTTATTGTTATATAGTTAGTGTCAAACTTCAATTTTTCTGTTTGCCGATTGGTCAAAACCGTATCACGTGCCGGCCCACAAAACGTCATGTTAGGGAACCGGTCCACAATGAAACATTTATTGACCGGTCAATAATAAAATGGGTGCAATACGCATGCGTGTCAACCCCGAAGTTGCTGGAAACATTTTTTTTCGCCAACATTTTTGGGAAAAATATGGTACTGTGGTAATTTTTGGCCCAATGTAGTAATTTTATGCAGCCAGATGTGGTAATTGCCCCTGAAAAAATCTGGTCCTCACTGAAGGGGTCCCACGTACTTTTCTTCTTGACCAAATGTAATTTCCAAAACCGAGGAAAAACTCGGGGGAAGAGCAAATGAATTGGTAAATCTTCCAATAAATAGTCCTACAATCTCCTAAATTTCAGGAAGTAACTAGTGTGGGCACTGGAAGCCCGACTCGCTTAGGGCTCGTGTATTGTACATGTACATGTATCCCAGCTCATAGCGTTGTAGAACATTGTGATATCTCTTCATATGTTCTAAAATTCTTGCTGAAAGCACGTGTACAATTTGATAATAACTAAAAAAAACATATGGTTTCTTTAATTACGATTGATTGCAATCATATAAATATAACTGATAGTTTGTATTGATCTTCCGTGGTAATGCTGGTATGATCATAATCCAACAATTCAATAATTAAGGCATTGTGAATTTATAGCAATATCTTATAAAAGTGCAAACTGTTAATTAGATTGTACACTCACACATCAACACTGTTTATTTTTAGTAGTGAAACAACCGAGTCTTCTGACGGTGAATTAGGTGGAGGTCTGAATGATTTAGATGTACATCTAACTGTTGACAACAATATCGCACACACCACTTTTCATGAGAATATGTCTTCTCTTGGGAGTACCAGTACTGAACCTAGTGATGATGAGTGTGATCCAATAGCAGACAGTGATTGCACACTTGAGTCTCCTTTGACTAATCCTGACGAAAGAGAAATCGTTACTGCAATTTTAGAAGCACTGAATTTGGTGGACCAAATGCAAGGCTCTCATAAACATTTTGTCGATGTGTTGGAATTCTCAGAAAAATTGTATTCAAGAAACAACGATGGGGAACAACCAGTGAAATATATGTGGCCCAAGAGTTGGAGGGAGACAGAGATGATTTTAAAAAAATGTGGCTATACAGTGGTCCAAATGAATATTACATATGCTTGGACCAGTCTCACTATTCAAAATCTCACTATTCATGTTGAATTCTGAAGACAGTTGCAAGTACTATGGAAAAAGTGGAAACATAAAGTATTATTATCTTGGATTGCCAGACAAAGTCAAAAGATGGTGTTCAAATGCTAATATGTGCAAGAAAATGATGGCACATTGGGAAAACAAAGAACACTGGATACGTGGCATTGGATCAAACTTTATTTTGAAAGAAATATGCGACAGGTCTAGATTTAATGAGTTATCCTGGTTCTGGAACCCTGACTGTTCCTGGATGTTACCTCTCTGATGTAAATTTTGCAATTCTGTGATTGGTCCTAAAGAAATAGAAGAATCAGAACAAAATGGAGAATGCTACAATGTCCAATGTTCAGAATGTGGTACTAATCATGATTATATACCATGCTTCACCAATGGAAACCCACGTAACATTGCACTCATTGGGCACTGGGATGGTTGGCAACCATTTGGTTACCCAGGGTCTCATAGTTTAGCAAGTGCATGACTTTTGTTATTTAATCCATTAAATAAATGTGTAATAAGTTCAGTATAAATTTACATTTTAACCCATTAAGCCATAATGCTCCCAAATGAGCCAAATGCCAGACGATTTTACTCGTCAAGAGAAAAGTCTTGTGCTTTAATGGGTTAATATTTCTATAAATGCCAGATGACTTTACTTGTCAAGTGGAAGAGTAGTGGGGCATTAATTTATTAATGGTTAGTATCATAAAGCACACAGATGTTTACAATTCAAATTAAATGAATTTGCTAATATTCAATTTTTTCAAATTGGTGATTTGTAATTGACCCTTATCACATCAAAATAACATCATTAAAATAGTCACTGTGTGCTCTACAATCTTGGAGAAAAAGTTTATAATTATCAATCATTGCACTGTTTCTCCTTCTGTTTTCTACAGTTTCTAGTAGTTTTTTATTTGGAAAAGTAATGATACAGCGTTAAAAATTAACATATTGTCCAAGATTGTTGTTCTGGCACGTTATGTTGCGAGTGTGACGTGTCAAATAGAAATTGAGTTTGTTTTTTATATCACAGAACACTAGTGTAATGACAAGTGGAGCGAATTAATAAAACTTCTTTTTATTTCTAGGAGCCATTGAAGTTACAATAGCCAATATGTATAAAGCTGAGAGGAGTAAAGTTGAAGAAGTGTATGTGGTTGGTTTTGTACCCAGCTATCTCCTTCTGAAAAAGTGCCCATGTTTGCTTGACCCTTTCTTGGATCTTCTAGTTACTGACGTCGAAGACATATTTATTCATGGTATTATAGTTAAACGCGATTACATGCTGCGTGAATTGTTAACATTAAATTGTGCATGTATAAGTTGTAGCGTGTATACAGTAACAGTACTGATTAAAAATAGCAACAAATTATTCATATTTTAAAGGGTTAGAAGTTGATTACGTTGGCTCGATTTCTGGCTTACGAAGTGGGAGAACTAATATCCGTTGTTTAATACTACTCTGGACCGGAGATTATCCAGCACAGTGCAAAGTTGGAAAATTTATTAATTGTGAAATACAGCCATGTAGAAGGGATAAACTTCAAGGTATTTGATACCTGATATTTACAATAATTAATTTGCATGCATGACCGTTAATCTGTTTGTAACTGCATTTATTAAATTTATTTATTAAATATAAACTTGTATTCTTGGATATTTTCTCCAAAACTTTAATATTTACTTATTAATTTTATATACTTGTATTTCTGTCTCTTTTTATACAGGAACAAGTTTAAACGGCGGAAGCACTTATTATTATGGAGAAAACAGACTTCACGCTAGATTTCCCTGGGGAAAACGGAATCTTAATGACGAAGTGGAAGTGATGTGCACCATAGGTGAAGAAGATCGTAGTTCTGTACGAGCTAATCTTAGCAAACATACAGCATACACTGGAATCAGCGTTTTACACCGACTTCACAAGATCTACGAGTTTGATGTCATCCGAGATACAGTATTTGATATGATGCACAACCTTCCTCTAAATGTTGTGAGAAAACATGTTAAGAGAGTGATGGACGAAGGAATAGTTGACAAAAATGTGTTAGAAAGCAAACTTTCACTTATGCCCTGAACTGCAGGTTATATTTTAGAATTAATACTGCATGCTTATATGTATATATATATAGGAAGCACCTTTACCCCATGCTGCAAAGATTGATGTAGACAAGGTAATCGTTGGTGTGACCATACTCAGTTGGGTTTTGATTTTAGCGTTTCTGCGTGTTAAACTGTCAAACTCAACATTGTTTTGTTAACAAAAATTATACCAAGTGTTTTGCTACCAATGGTTAAAAATGCGTTAAACATAAGTACTGTTTTACAGTTTTTGGCTTTGGTCATAATAGGTATACCCTGGCTACAGCTACGCTATAAATTATTTGGACATCATTCTATTATTTTCTCTTAGTCATTGAAATAAAATTTTCTGTTTTAGATGGCTGCCAAAACCATAACTGAAGCCAAAAGGCTGGCCAAGAGTTTTGGAAATTCGCTGAATCATGCGACCAGCTGCAATGAAGGAATCCTTGTCGGCGGACTGAATTCCAATGGAGTACTTCTAACAAAAGAAGATCAACAACTTATTCTTACTTGTATGCAAGCATCTGGCCACGTTGAAGAAGTAAAGATAGCATTTCAATTCTGGAGTCTCTTCAAACCACTTCAAAGTGTTGATGGTGTTCTTTATAGAGTCGATGAAGATATCATTTATATAACATCTAATAATGTGGAAGAAGTGGCACGAGTCGAAGCGTTTTATCTGTCTTACTTAGTGGAAGTTACTGCACATTGGCAAAGATAAAGCTGTACCAAAAGCTTGATGATGAAGACATGTTAGGTGAACTTAGAAATGGTGATAAAATTGTCGAAATATCAAATGAAATTGCAGTTATTATTGCCACATGTATTTCTCGAAAGGTGATGTTGTACCCACGTCCCGTCGATGATATGGACACCTTTGCTGTTGTAGATTTTGAAAGACCAAACTTACCAATAAACTTTGCAGATATTACTGTACCATTTTACCCCATGGTGAATGACATTGTTGTTATTAGAGGGGAAAATGACGAGGTTTGGGTCGCAAAGATCCTCAAAGTATACACTGAAGAAAAAAGTGTGAAAGTGTGGTACTACAGAGAGCAAGGACATGAATTGTTTGTACCAGAAGTTTCCTCACAAGATGCATTAGACATTATCAACTGGGACTCTATAGTTCATCTTGCTCCCGAGGAATGGATTGATGGCGGTTCTTGATTGTATCTCTAACTAACCATACATTGTAATTCAAATATCAAAAATCTTGTTTGTTGATCTTCACGTCTGTCTGTCTGTCTGTCTGTCTGTCTGTCTGTCTGTCTGTCTGTCTGTCTGTCTGTCTGTCTGTCTGTCTGTCTGTCTGTCTGTCTGTAAGCCTGTTACTGTTCATACTGTGTATTTTGAATGTCTTGGAACCCCATTATTGGAGAACTAATCTCTGCGTGGTAATTCCAGCCATGTAATCTATTGTCTAACTAATTTTGTGTAATAGTTTGTGTTAAATGGCAAAATCTGTAAAATAAAAAAAATGTATATATATATATATGTATATATATATATATTCAGTCCTGCAGGACCCGCATGCAAAATATTCATTAGATTAAAAAAATCTGATAAAACACGAACTATGAGTGATTAAAGTGCTTAAAATATATATGAACCACCTTAGTAGTAAAAATAAATTGAGAAAATGAACATGAAAATTTAGGTATTAATTAACCAATGATTTTTATCACATCAATTCATTTGTGGTTTGCTCATTACCTGTAATTTAATTCGCTCAATGGTTCAGTAAACTCAGTTATGGAATTTGTCTCAATGATGCATTTTGTAAATACAGTAATGGATTCTGTAAACCCAATGATGGATTCTATTAATCCAACAATGGATTTTTGTAAACCCAATAATGGATTATGTAAACCCAATGATGGGTTCTAAATATTCAATAATGGATTCTATAAATCCAACAATGGATTCTGTAAACCCAATGATGGGTTTTATAAACCCAATGATGGGTTCTATAAATCCAACAATGGATTTTGTAACTTCCAATGATGTGTTCTATAAATCCAACAATGGATTGTGTAAATCCAATGATGGATTCTATAAACCCAATGATGGATTCTGTTTACCCAATGATGGATTCTGTTAACCCAACAATGGATTCTGTTTACCCAATGATGGATTCTGTTAACCCAACAATGGTTTCTAAATACAACAATGGATTTTATAACTTCCAATAATGTGTTCTATAAATCCAACAATGGATTGTGTGAATCCAATCATGGATTCTGTAAACCCAATGATGGATTCCGTTTACCCAATGATGGATTCTGTTAACCCAACAATGGTTTCTAAAATCCACCATGTAATTTTGAAATCCAATAAAGGGTAATACGAAACCCATGATGGTTTTCTCAGTCAATCATGGATAATAAAAAAGATTATCCAAATCCATTATGTGTTTTGAAAAATCCATTATCAGGTTTAGAAAATCCATAATGGATTTTATAAAACCTGTAATGTATTTTGTAAATCACAATAATGGTTTTCCATAAAATTTTCCTGTGTTATCAAATAACCCAATAAATCTGTTAAAAAAAGGATTCGTTGATGTAAATAAAAATTTCATCAGTGTTTCCTGAGCATTCTGATGAGCTCTGATATAGAGCAAAACAAGCATATATTTACCAATTGTCCTCTGTCTTGAAGAGACTGATGAACAAACATGATCACTAGATTGACCAGAATTGTTGAAGTTAATATTACTACTAGATCATTCAGTGTCACAAGAATATCATAATTTAGTGTCAATATGAGAGTAATATCAATGAATTCATACCATAATTTCAAAACATACATTTTTATAACACAAAAAAGTTGAATATAATCTTAGCGTCTCATAATCTCGTCACTGTCACTTAGCGTCTCGTACTCTTGTCACTGTCAACTCTTCTGTTGTTTATAACGAAATCATCTCCATAGGGCACACAAGCTTGAATAAAAGTTGTTTATCCAGCGGTCAAAAATTTCGCCCTTGGCTTTGCCACGAAGACAGGAACTGCAGCCACATTTTCAATCACACTTGTTTCGAATTTCGTAAAGCGAAAAGCTTTCCCCAAGTGCTTCTGTCATAATGACAACAACTCTGGCAACATGTTTCAAGGGAATGATACCGCATTAACTATTTTCATAATGAGACACAAACTCCAAAGGTAAACACATTATTCTAACTCACACCTTCGGGATTTCGGTTCGCCGACACAGCTGTTGATATAGCAAGTCACACAAGGTTCAAAGCAGCCTCTTTATTCACGATGTTTACAGCTAGGCATGTAATATTATAGATTTAAGTAACTTGTTCGCATTTAATTGATATACAATATCTGATTTTGCTATTTAATGGCAGACCTTTGATCGGCACGACTCATGGCTGTTTAGTTTTTTGTTTTGATCTTAAACAGGTCTATTGACCCTGCTTAAATCTTCAGAAAATATGTTCGTTTTTAATTCTACTAAGTGTTAGTATCAATGCTTCCCGCAGGAAGAACATTTTTAATGCATTTGAAATTGGTGTATTTTTAGTACCCTGTTTGGCCTGTCAAACAAAGAAAACATTTCTTGTCAAGCCTCTGCTTGGGAGAGGTCATATGAAGCTTTGACTGGGAAGAACAAGCAGGCTGTCCCGGACTGTGAGAAAGTAATTTCACCAGCTGTTATCAATTTAGCAAAAATGGACATACAACATGTGCACAAGTTCTGACCATAATCAGCAATCGGCACAAGGCAGTGGATGGCAGAGGCATAAATGAGGAATTGCGGTCAATGTATTTGGGGCGTTCAAAGATTGGATACTTGATGACTGGATGCCCTGGCACAAAGACGTCAACAATTTGATTTTATTTTATTGGTTAATACAACAATTTGCAAAAGTAATGTTATAGAAGAGACAAGAAATGAAGAATTGTGATGAGGTAGTCCAACTAGAAGCCAAGGCTTATTAATTGCTAGACTACCTCATGTCAAATATTAAAAAATAAGTTACCTAAATATATATGAGGTAAAATAGTGAGCAGACATATAATAAGGAAACTAATATAATACAAGGACACACACATAATATCAAAACGAAGACTTGATTAGTTTATTTTGAAAAATTGCTTTTGGAAAATTATGTCTTATGGAATCCATCAGGTTTTCGATCATGAATGACAGACTCCAATGGGGCAAATATTACTGCCACGAAACTAGCCCATTCCAAATAGATATTTGGCTTATTAATACTTTCGTGAAAAGAACATACATTCATGATTTTTCTCTGTTGGTGTAATGTACTCAGGTGAATATGATGCTTGTGATGTTACTCTGAGTGTATATCCACACCGGGCAAGCTTAAAATATGCCTGACCACGGTGGGAATCGAACCTATGACATATTTTAGGCATATTTTTCTGGTGGGACTGATAGCTAATTTGGAAAGCAGCGAAATTTGCTGAGCAGAATATGTCGAAAGAGGATTAAGTCCGGAGCACCGAAGAGCTTCGTCGACTGAATATGTGGAAGGATTTTTCTCCCTCCTTAATGAGATGCTAGGTCCTGTTTTTGATCTAAAGCAATTCCATGATGAATCCAGAAAGATCTTAAATGAACTTACCAAACAGATAAATCCACAACTCCAATTTTTTTATTGGACTGGGTAAAGTGACTGTTAATGGAGTGGTTGAGAGGTTAGACAAGGTAACATTGTCAAGAAGGGGAGACCCAGGCATTTTTGTGGCTAATAGCCAGGCATCATTTCCACAAAAAGGGCAGCTCACATGCACAGCTAATTTTCATGTTGTTTGATGACAACATGTCCAGAATTGAAATGTGGCATATGAAATAAATCAAATGTTGAAAACATGTTGTGCTGACTCGTATTGATTTTACCCTAATGTCAGATATAATTTGAAGGGTACTGCCTTCTTAAACCAATATTTGACAAATCCCCAGATATGTGGTGGTTTATCTGACTTTCTTGCTAGCAGCCACAACTTCATCAGGCCAGGGTCCCTCTCTGGTGATGTCAATTATTAAGTAATACCTATTATTATATACACAAGGTCTGGATATGAGGTAGACTGCAATCTGATTGGTTCTCTACTAGAAGGATATTAGCGAAAAACAAAATGGCGGCTGAAACTGAATTTTCGACGTTTGCGAATGAGAAAACGGCAAGTTGTTCGCTTTTTATAGCCTTTACAGGATTAAAAACACAATGAAAAAACTCCCAAAAATTGTTTACAGGTTAGCAAATGAATTTATAAAATTTAAAATGGTTAAAAAGAATATATTTTTGAAAAAATAATCGGCCAAAAGAGCGAAGATAAAAACATAAACAAAACAGAAAAATATTGGGAATTTCCGAAAAGCAAAGTCTGTGAATTCAGACCTTGTGTATATAATAAAACAGTTATTCCACTCACTCTCGTCGAATATGAGCGATAGCCGATTCGGCGCTACGCGCCTCATTGGCTATCAGTTCATATTCGACTCGAGTTCGTGGAATAACTGTGTTAAATACATAGAAAAACGGTTTGAAATCATATGTTTTTAACTTCAAATTCCAGTGTATGTGTGTTTAATAATGGATGCAGATACAGTACTGCTCAGACGTAACCTAATGCTGCGTTCGGAACACCTTCGAGAATGTGTTCGGAACACCTTCCTGAACGCGTTCGGAACACGTTCTTGAATGCGTTCTGAAACTCGTGTTATTTCTCTTTGAAGCTTTGAGTTTCTTCGGAAAATTCCAAATACTATAAATGAAAACAAAGTCAACTCAAATTCGTCTAGCTCACATTATCTGACCAATACAAAAGCCCAAGAAAAGGAAATATATTTGGTCTTCAACAAACATGGCAAAATAACAAGTTGAAATCTAATTCAAAGTTCAATGGGGTAGTAGCATGCAGCGCTTAAGTTTTTGCAAATAGCTTCTACAATGAAGTTATGATAGGGGCCGTATAACCATAAAATACTGACAAGCAAACATTTGAAATGACATGTTTTAATGGTCAAACGTTTAGATAAAGTCTACAAGACTACATGTGACAAGTATATGCATGTGCTTATCTTTTAAACTACAGTAAGTTCTATTCATACCATGCAATATTCATGCAGTCAGTTCTGTTCATAGGATAGCAATGTTGTTAGAATTTGATTTAAAGCTCACACCT